GTACCTTCTCATTAGGGTCATCAAAAAGCAATGAGTATCTGGGACCAGTAGACATTAATAAATGTATCTGTGAATCCTAACACTTTGGGAGCTGAGCAGGAGGAGTCACTTTGAGGCAGGAGTTTGAGACCAGCCTGGGCAACATAGTGAGAACCCGTCTCTACCAAAAAAAAAAAAAATACAAAAATTAGCCAGGCATGGTGGTGCATGTCTGCAGTCCCAGCTACTCGGGAGGCTGAGGCGGGAGGATCGCTTGAGCCCAGGAATTTGAGGTTGCAGTGAGCTATGATGATGTCACTGCCCTTATACTCAGGCAGCAAAGCAAGACCCTCTCTCTTTTATTTTTTTTTTCTTTTTTAACCATACATGGGAAAGAAATCTCTCTCTTTTAAAAAAACAAAAAATGCATCTATGGTTATTGTTACTATTGTAGAATTCCATCTGCAAATGCTTGTGACTCAGTAACATCCGACAACATTATGGGGCCCAGGCGTCCTTGCTGTGGACCGCATCCATGCCCAACATAACCCAAAAAGCAGGGCAGTCACTGGCACACCAAAGCTACCAGAAAAGACACTGAAGGACTTGAGGTTCTACATGCTTAGGGGCCCCTGTTGCAGAGGTCAAATTAGCTGCATGGAACAAAACCTACTCCAGAAGAAAATTCATAGGAGGACATTCAGATGTCTTATAATCCCCACCGGTAAATACTAGGTATCCCAAGTTGAATAGCATCCCCGTAAAATTCATGCCCTTCCAGGCCAGGCGAGGTGGCTCACGTCTGTAATCCCAGCACTCTGGGAGGCCCATGCCGGAGGATCACTCAAGGTCAGGAGTTCGAGACCAGACTCAGCAAGAGTGAGACCCTGTCTCTACTAAAAATAGAGATAAATTAATTGGCCGACTAAAAATATATAGAAAAATTAGGCCGGGCATGGTGGCGCATGCTTTAGTCCCCAGTACTCGGAGCTGAGGCAGGAGGATCACTTGAGCCCAGGAGTTTGAGGTTGCTGTGAGCTAGGCTGATGTCACGGCATTCTAGCCTGGGTTACAGAGTGAGACTCTGTCTCAAAAAAAAAAAAAAAAAAAAAATTCATGCCCTTCCTGAAATTGCAGAATGTGAGTTTATTTGCAAACAGGGTCTTTGCAGATGCACTTAGTTAAATTAAGATGAGGCCATACTGGAATAAACCCATTATTACCGGTGTCTTTATAAGGCTCACACCTGTAATCCCAGCACATTGGGAGGCCGAGGTGGGAGGATCGCTTGAGGCCAGGAGCTTGAGGCTGCAGTGAGCACTCCAGCCTGGGTGACAAAGCAAGATCATGTCTCTTTAAAAAAAAAAAAAAGAAAGAAAAGACTAGATATAGAAGGAAGGCAGCCACGTGACAACAGAGGCAGAGATTGCAGCAGATGCATCTGCACAAAGGATTCTTCCCTGGAGCCTGCAGAGAAAGTATGTCCCTGTTGACACCTTGATTTGGGACTTCTGGACTCCAGGACTGTAAGAGAACAAGTTTCTGACGTTTAAAGTGAGCAGTTTTATTTTGTCAAGCAGTCGTAGGAAACAAATGCACTAGGGTACTCCACATCACCAGGAAGGGGCAAGTAGGAGACCAGAGCAGCTCCTCCGTCTGTCTAGGACTGTGGGGTCTCATCTGGGAATCCCTGCACAACTCTCCCTCCCCTCCTCCCTCTCTGCACAATTCGGCCTTTCCACGATTCTCTCCGACAAGCACAGTTTCCAATTCCTGGCTAATACAGAGTCTGGGGCCAGGTCCACCCACATTCCCGGGGAAGAGATCTGATTGGCCCAGCTGGAGTCACGTGTTCGCCTCGACCCAATCATCCAGGGCTAAGGAATTACATCACCTGGTGCCAAGGGCTGCTATTCAAAACAGGCAACCTCCCAGTAGCCAGACGACGATTTGCAGCTGGCCCCTGGACCAGAGTTCTGGGGACCACCAGAGCTTGGGTTAGGGCCTGGGTTAGCGACGAGGGGAGAAATGTAACAGAATATCCGCATGGTGGGGAAATTATGGGATTAGAAAAACTGGCCAGGTCTGGAGAGAGGAGGGGGACAGGGCTGTGCTGGGAAACATTGAACAAGCGGCTCTCTAGGAGTGGGGGAGAGGTGCCTATTTATTATAAATTTTGCTGGCAGAAATGATGCGGCACACTATTTCCAAAATAATGACAAAATTTGAACTACTCTTCCTTGCAAGCTCTGTGTAGTCCATTGATTCTCGCACAAGTTAATTTTTCCCAAATTCTTGTACCCAGCCCCTACTACCCCTGGTTGCAACTGACAAGTGAACGTGGGTTGATGTATTTCTTTCAAATAAAGAGTGAGGTGTGTGCTGCCACCTCCGGTGCTCGCCAATGAAGGGGAAGATTTCTTTGCTGAATCAGATAACGGTTTTAAAACACTAGAGGAATGCTTCCTCAATTTGTGTGTGTGTGTGTGTGCTATTTATAGTAACAGCTACAGGCAAGATACACTTGTTAAATTTAATCAACAGGCGTGATAGACAGCAGATACTCAATAAATACCAGTTGGAGGAATGAACAGAGCCCCCTCCGTACAGACGTACACGTTTCCCTTATAGTAACATAAATACAATCTGGGGGGGGGTCTACGTTGCCTTCAGATTTCTCCCTAGCACCTACACAAATGCCGGCTCGTAGCAGGTGATCCATAAATACACACGCAACGTTATGAATTAATATAAAGTATAAATATGGCTACTCAGGAGGCTGAGGCTGGAGGATCACCTGGGCCAGCCTCGGAGACACCGTGAGACCCCTCTCTAAAAAAAAAAAAAAAAAGAGGGGGGGGGAAAGCCCTTTCTTCAAACTCAGAGGACTTTCTTAAAATATATATGTATACACATAGACAAAATACGTGGTCTGAGCTGAGGCTCAGAATAAATAGGAGGAGTTCAACCTGGGGCAGGGGTGGGTGGGGGGCCCTGGAGGAGGTGTTAGCAGCGGGGACCCCCGCCCGGCCCCTTGAGGTAGAGCGGCCCTGCCCAGCACCATTAACGGAAGGGGATTCTGTCCAGGGGGGCAGCACCCGGGCTGGGCGTCACGTGGGCCTCGGCGAGCGGAGGCCGGCGGGGACGTCGCTGGCCACCCGGAAGAGGCCCACGACGGTGGCGCGCTGGTCCAGCTGCCAGTGCTGGGGCGCCTCGGGCCCGGCGCTCAGGTGGACGCCCAGGCGCTGGCCGGCGCCCAGGTGCAGCAGGCGGCTTCGGAAGCCGGAAACCGAGTGCGGGGCCTCGGAGGACCCGGGCGGCAGGTGCACGGTCAAAGTCAGAGCGGCGGGCCCCGCGGGGGCGGCGGCGGCGGCGGGGGCGGCCGTGCGCAACGCGAAGGACACCGAGCCCCCGCCGGCGCTTGGGAGGACGGCCACGTGTCGCAGCTCGGCTTGCAAGAAGACATAGTAGACGCCGGCCTCCGTCACCTGCAGCTGCCGCGTGTCCTTATCGTAGCTCACGCCGGGCGACAGGAGCACGCCGTCCAGGCCCGCGTCGCTGTACCAGCCCAGGGGCCCGTCGGTCAGCAGAACTGCGGGAGGGGAGAGGTCCAAGCTGAGCACGGCCGCCTGGCCCCGGGGAGGGGGCGGCGGGGCGCTGGGCCGGAGGGGACGAAAGTGGGGACTGAGGTGGGACTGGGGGAGGCGGAGGAAGGGATCGAACCGAGGAGGAGACCTGGCCGTCAGTCGGGAAGGGGAAAGGGCTCCCAGAGGGAGGCCGAGGAAGAGGAGGGGTGGGCGGGGGCGAAGTGAGCGACTTCTAGGAGCGGGAGGAGGAGGGAGGCGGGTGTGGCTCGCGCTGAGCCCGGCCAGCCGGAGAGACGCCACCAGACCCGGCGCTGCGCCTGCCAGTCCCGGCGCTGAGAGCGCACAGTCGGGGAGGCAACGGCGACCACAGACTCGGAGGAAAGTCAGGAGGAGGGGTCCACGAGGTTCAAAGAAGAGAGGTGGCAGCTTTCCGAGGGGGAGGATTGGAGGGCGGCAGGGGTCCCAGCCCAGAGCCTCACTCTCGCGGGGACTCGTGTTTCTTGGTGTCCCCCACCCAGCCACCACCACCCCGAGGAGGGGGCAGGGAAAGCGCGCAGGACACTCACCGTCTTCGGCCACCAGCTGCCCGAAAACAGGAAAGCCCTGCTGAAAGAGGAAAACGGAAAGGTGAATGGAGGCTCCCCTCGAAAGTGGGACTCCTGCCCGCACCTACACTGGCCGCCGGGGTCCCCGAGGGTGCGCAGACCTGGAGCCTGCGCTCCTCCTCCCCCCTCCAAAAGAACAAGGGCGCGGGCGCGCGACGTGGGTGGCTCGGCCGGCTCCAAGGACAGAGCCCCCAGAACGCAGGAGGGAAAAGAAGAGCGAAGCCTCCTCTTCCTGCCCCTCCCACAGCGGGGCGGGCGGTGGGCAATCCCCCGGAGGTCTCGTGAGCGGAAAGGGGGAGACTCCAAGAGTCCAAGAAAAAACGAGGCTCTCTGGGAGGTAGTAAAGGAAGTGGGGGTGTCACCTCATGGTCCCAGATAAGGAAGAGTTGCTCCTGGGGTCTGGCACCGAGAAAGGGCTCCCTCCCCTCTGGGGCCCCAGGGTGCAGATGGGGCTCGCGGGGGTGCAGGATGAGAAGGGGTAGCCTCCCCAGCGCAAGATGGAGAAAGGGAGCCTTGAGGGGTCAGAGAAGAACTGTGGAGTCTCCTCTGGGCCTCGGGGTGTAGACAGGGACTCAAAAGTGGGCGTGTGCCCGGCGCGGTGGCTGACGCCTGTAATCCCAGCACTCTGGGAGGCCGACGCGGGAGGATCGCTTGAGGTCGGGAGTTTGAGACAAGCCTCAGCAAGAGCGAAACCCCGTCTCTACTAAAAACAGAAAGAAATTAGCCAGATAACTAAACATATAAAAAATTAGCCGGGCATGGTGGCGCATGCCTGTAGTCCCAGCCACTTGGGAGGCTGAGGCAGGAGGATCGCTTGAGCCCAGGAGTTTGAGGTTGCTGTGAGCTAGGCTGACGCCACGGCACTCACTCTAGCCTGGGCAACAGAGTGAACTCTGTCTCAAAAAAAAAAAAAAAGAAAGAAAAGAAAGAAAAGAAAGAAAAAAAAGAAAGGAAAGAAAAGAAAGAAGAAAGAAAGAAAGAAAGAAGAAAGAAAAAGAAGAAAGAAAGAAGAAGAGAAAGAGAAGAAAAAAAAGAAAGAAAAGAAAGAAAGAAAGAAAGGAAGGAAGAAAAGAAAAAAGTGGGGGTGCGAGAAGAAAAGGGGTGCCCCCAGTGCCAGATGGGGAACGGGAGCCCTCGGGGTGCGATAGGGACAGCTGAGTCTCCTTTCTCCTGCTCCGGGTGCAGGAGAGGTGTCCCCGTGGTGCGGGATAGAAGAGGGTCCCAGAGGGGCGCCAGGGGTCTCCCTGGGGCTGGAGCAGGGCGCGTCTCACCTGCTGCGGGTCGTCGGGCGACAGCTCGGGGCCCCCGCGTTGTATCGGGGTGGGCGCCGGACTGGCCAAGGCGGGGGCCCGCCACAACTCCCAGTAACGGACCCCGACGGCGGCCGCGCCAGTGACCAAGAGCAGCGCCACGACGCCCAGGACCCAGCGCAGGGCGCTGCGGGCGCAGGGCGCGGGCTGCCAGGGGGCCTCGGGGTCCCGCGCGGCGTCGGGGCTGGAGTGCATGGCAGCCGGCAGAGGACTGCTGCCCCGGGCCGCGCGCCGCGCTTTATACGGGAAGCCTGGCGGCTTTCCGGGGCGGCCCACGGGGATCCCGGCGACGCGCGCCCCGCCCCTGTCCCCTCCGCTCCACTTTCTCCTCCCGGCTGCGCGCTCCCACCCGGCCTTCCAAGCTCTGCCCGGTTCCTCTTTCCCCGGCCTCGCTCCTGCGTCCCCCACCGCCCTGCCGCCTCTCTCTGCCCCTCTTGCTGCGAGTCCCTGGGTGGCTCTGTGTGACTTAGGCGCCTTTCCCAGTCCCTGTTGTCTCCGCAGGCGGAGGGAGGCGGTCTCTCCATCTCCCGGCACGTTGCGTCTCTGCCCATCTCTGCCTCTGACTCTCCCCGTGTCTGTCTCTCTCGACCTCTCTGTCTCTCTGCGTCTCTCTCTGCCTCTGACCTGTCTATATTTGTCTATTTCTCTTTCTCCGTTTCTCTCTGTGTGAGTCACTGACTGTCACTGTTTTGGAGTCTGTGTCTCCCCCTATCCATGTCTCTAGCTCCCTCGGCCTCTCACTTTGTGTCTCTCTGTCTCTCCCTGTTTCTCTGTCTCTGCCTCTGTAGTCTCCTTGTCTCTGTCTCCCTCTGAGTCTCTCTGTTCCCGGTGTCTCTGTCTCCTCCTTCTTGGCTCCCCCCTAAGCCTGCTGAGACCCCACACACACACACTTCTGCAGAAGGGTCAGGGCCCAGCCAGGCCTCCACCACTCCTGGAGCACCCTGGCAGGGAACCCCGGCTGTCATGCCCAGCCCTCCCCCACCGCCCCACCGCACCTTCCCCAGGACCCCTGGGCCTCCCCTGGCCTTCCCCCCACCTGCCCACCCAATGCTTCCTGTCACAAGGAAGGACCCCGGCAGGCAGAAGGCTGGAGAGTCCAGCTGGAGAAATTCCCCTGACAGGAGCGGGACAGTCTTGAGCCACATGCAGGAAACTCCAATTTCCCATTTGTTGTCGTAAATGAGGGTGGAGGTGGGAGGATTAGCTGAGAAGCAGCCGGAGCCTGGCCCCAAAAGAGGAAGCTCCCCTGGATGGAGAGGGAGATGGCCCTGGGCTGGCACTGAAGTCCTGGTCTGCCCACACCTGCTGTGGTCCACACTGGCCGCAGAGTCCCCTTCCGCTCGGGCAGCCTCACTGTCCCCAGGGCAGAGGGACATGAGGGGCCAGACAATTCAACTCTCCACCAACAGGAGTCAACAGCCCATAAAATGCTGGGAAATTTTGACTCAACTGAACAGGTATCTTGTAACGCCCGCAGGCCCTACACTGGAGCCTGCCTCGGGCCCTGCTGGGGAATTACAAGAAAGCAATAATGATACCGGCGTGGGGCCCAGGCAGCTGGCGAGCCACCCGGAACCCGTCGGCTATGCAAATTTCAGCACCCCAACCAGGACCCACACACGCTCTGGGAGGAGGAGCCCAGAAATCAGTGCTTGGAGGAGCCCTCCAAACACTCGAGTGCCTGCTCACGTTTGGGAACCCACAGCGCTGTGCCCATGTGCTTGCTGGTCCCAATGCACCCGATCCCCTGCGACGTCCACATCAGGTAGCCTTTCACATGCTCCGTTCAGACTGCCCTTCCCATCAAGATAACAGATCGACCCAGCCTCTGCTTTCACTGTCACTGTTCTCTCCTGAAACCCCGCCGCGGTGACAGTTTGTTTGTAAACCAAAAAAAAAAAAAAAAAAGCAAACGAGCAGAATAGAAAGGTTCATTTCCCTAGAATTCTGCCACCCTCAAGACTTAGTTAGTGGTGACTTCCGCTAATTCTGACAGCTTGGTGGATGGTGGCTGAAATACAAATGTTTATCTTTGAGCTTCAGGGAAGTCAGAAAAAAATAAAATACACACGTTGGCTGTAAATTTGAAAAAGACACACCAACTCTTCTCTCTGTCAGAGAAGTGCTTTTTTTTTTTTTTAAGAGAAATTAAAATGGCAGCATTTCTGGAAAAAGCAATGCAGTTGAGGGTAGGGGGGACGGTGCTGAAAATGGGAGTGGTCATTGATCCTGGAATGTGACTTTGAAATTGAGACTCACCCAGCCTTCGCCACCTCCCCCAGCACCCAGCAACCAGAAGGTCCCTCTCTTAGGAACCTGGCCAATCAGGAAGATAGATTTAAAGATACTAATGCCAAAAGGGTTTCTCATGATAGCATCACCTTGCCAAGAAACTCAAGGGCCACTGGCCAATCTGTTTATTTATTTTATTTTTTATTCTTTTTAGAGATGGAGTCTTGCTCTTGCTCAGGCTGGTCTCGAACTCCTGGCCTCCAGCGATCTTCCCACCTTGGCTTCCCAGAGGGCGAGGATTATAGACATGAGCTACCACGCCCGGCCTTTTTTGTTTGTTTGTTTGAGACAGAGTCTCAGTCTGTCACCCAGGCAGGAGTACAGTGGTGGCATCATAGCGCACTGCGGCCTCCAACTCCTGGGCTCAAGCGATCCTCCCACCTGGGCTCAGAAGTGCTGTCAATACAGGGAAGGAGCCATCACGCCTGGTCTCAGTCTGTTTATTATTAATATTAAGCCTTGCACCCACAGCAAGCCACAGCCAAGGATTAATTATTTGAACTGACAAGACAACGGAAAGAGGAATTTGAACCCAAATGAAATCATCCCTCTCTCCCTCCCTCAGGCCCCAGTTCCGTTCCATTGCCTCATCGGATTTTTTTACTAACAGTTTTAGCCCTAAATGTCCTAGTTCATTGATTCATTTATTTGCTTGCAGTTGTCTTCCCCATGACAGACTCCCAAGCTTGTGAGTGGTATCTTTTTTTTTTTTTTTGAGACAGAGTGTCGCTTTGTTGCCCAGGCTAGAGTGAGTGCCATGGCGTCAGCCTAGCTCACAGCAACCTCAAACTCCTGGGCTCAAGCGATCCTCCTGCCTCAGCCTCCCTAGTAGCTGGGACTACAGGCATGTGCCACCATGCCCGGCCAATTTTTTCTATATATATTAGTTGTCCTATTAATTTCTTTCTATTTATAGTAGAGACAGGGGTCTCACTCTTGCTCAGGCTGGTTTCAAACTCCTGACCTTGAGCAATCCTCCAGCCTCGGCCTCCCAGAGGGCTAGGATTACAGGCATGAGCCACTGCGCCTGGCCGTGTTTATCTGCCTTGTTCCTGTTGCACCTCCACTGCCTAGAAATCTGCAGGCCTCAATAATGTTTATGGAAGGAACAAGGAACTAAAGAAGGAATGAATGAATAAAGGGAAAAAATATACAGCCTAAAAGTTAAGAGCATAGGTTCTTGGCTGGGCGTGGTGGCTCACACCTGTAATCCTAGCACTCTGGAAGGCCAAGGTGGGAGGAGTTCAAGACCAGCCTGAGCAAAAGGGAGACCCCATCTCTGCCAAAAATAGAAAAATTAGCTGGGTGTGGTGGCACATACCTGTAGTCCCACATACTCAGGAGGCTGGGGCAAGAGGATCATTTGAGCCCAGGAGTTGGAGGTTGCAGTGAGCTATGATGATGCCACTGCACTCTACCCAGGGCCACAGAATGAGACTCCGTCTTAAAAAAAAAAAAAAGGCCTAGGTTCTAGAGCCAAGGTCCAGAAATTTTAGCCTTTGAGCCAGGCTTGGCCCACTAGCTGTCTTTGTACAGCCCCACAGATAAAATTTTTATTTTGTTTTTAGGAAAAAGTCAGAAGAGGAATAATATTTCCTGACATGTGCAAATGATTTGAAATTCACATTTCAGTATCGGTAAATGAAGTTTTATTGGCATACAACATGCTTGTTCATTTTTGTATTGCTACAGTGGTTTTCCAGCTCCTATGACGGAGTTGAGTAGTTGCAAGAAGAGACTGGCTAGACACATAGTGTTGGGAGCCACCATGCCTGTAATCCCAGCACTCTGGAAGGCCAAGATGGGAGGATCGCTTGAGCCCAGGAGTTAGAGACCAGCCTGAACAACATAGTGAGATCCCCATCACTACAAAAAATTATTTTAATTAGTCGGGCATGGTGGCTCACACCTGTAGTCCCAGCTACTTGGGAGGCTGAGGCAGAAGGATCAATTCAGCCCAAGAGTTGGAGGCTGCAATGAACTGTGATGCTGCCACTACACTTCAGCCTGGACAAAAGAGCCAGACCCCACCTCTAAAAAAATAATAATGAGGCCGGGCGCGGTGGCTCACGCCTGTAATCCTAGCACTCTGGGAGGCCGAGGCGGACTGATCGATCAAGGTCAGGAGTTCAAAACCAGCCTGAACAAGAGCGAGACCCCGTCTCTACTATAAATAGAAAGAAATTCATTGGCCAACTAATATATATAGAAAAAATTAGCCGGGCATGGTGGCACATGCCTGTAGTCCCAGCTACTCAGGAGGCTGAGGCAGAGGATAGCTTGAGCCCAGGAGATTGAGGTTGCTGTGAGCTAGGCTAATGCCACAGCACTCACTCTAGCCTGGGCAACAAAGTGAGACTCTGTCTCAAAAATAATAATAATAATAATGAAAATTTTAAATCTTTTAAAAATAAAAAAAGAGACTAGCTAGCCCACAAAGCCCAAGCTATTTACTATCTGGTCCTTTTTGGGGAAAAAAAAATTGCCGCTTCTACGTTAAAGTCTTGAATTCTAGCTCTTCAGATTGCTTGCTGTGTGATCTTGGGCAAGCTGCTTCACCTCTCTGATTTAACTCCCTTTCCATGTGTGTTAAATGGGAATAATAGCAGATCGAGAAAAGTGGCTCAGAGCTTGCTGAGAGCACAGTAGCCGAGCACATAGTAAATGCTCAGTAAACTGGCCTGTTGTTACTGTGCTCACCGAACCCTCTCTACAGCTCCGTGGTGTGTCACCATGCCCGATACATGGGCACAGAAACTACGCCTCCAAAAGCCGAAGTCCCGTGCCCAAGGTCTCACAGGGACTGCTCTGAACTCCCCTCTATGCTGGGGGGCTGGGCAGAGCCCTGCATTGCCCGCAGGGGAGGGGGAAGAGAGCCTCCCAGCCTGGGAAAGGCTCAGGCCGCAGCCAGGGGGGACCATGACGCGCTGTGGTCGGGACATCTGAGCCAGGCGGCCCGCCCACTGGGGAGCACTCAGCGTCACCACCACCCTCTTAGCACCTCACGTTCAGTGGAGTCGCACCTCTGTGCTCAGCAGTCTCCCCGAAGCCAGCGTGGGCCCCAGCGTTCCTGAGCTAGCGGGGGAAGGGCTCGCCATCAGCAGGCCCAAGGGAGGGACTGGGCAGGAAGTGGTTGGCGAGGACAGCACCCCAGTCTCTCTCTGGGGAGCCCCTCTTCTGCCTCTGAGATCAAGTGAAGGCGCCTCCCCGGGGAAGCATGCCTTGATTTTTTTTTTTTCTTCCTAGCAAAATAAAATCATCTCTTTCTCTCAGGGCCTTGCAACATGCTCCCCATCTCTGTCCCCACTGGGGCTGAGCGACACCTTTGTCCTGGCCGGGAGCCTCTGTCACTCCAGGAAAGAGCATATTAGTGGCGTTTGCTGAGTAGTTGGCACGATGAGTGCGACAGCAAGAGACCGAATGGTGAGAGAAGAAAGAAAAGAAGCAAAGAGGGAAGGAAAGAAAGGAAGGAGGTTGGTCTTGAGCCATGGGAGGACATCTTCTAAAAGAGACACAAGGAGGCCGGGCTCGGTGGCTCACGCCTGTCATCCTAGCACTCTGGGAGATCGAGGCGGGCGGATTGCTTGAGGTCAGGAGTTCGAAACCAGCCTGAGCAAGAGCGAGACCCCGTCTCTACTATAAATAGAAAGAAATTAATTGGCCAACTAATATATATAGAAAAAAATTAGCCGGGCATGGTGGCGCACGCCTGTAGTCCCAGCTACTCGGAAGGCTGAGGCAGAAGGATCACTTGAGCCCAGGAGTTTGATGTTGCTGTGAGCTAGGCTGATGCCACGGCACTCACTCTAGCCTGGGCGACAAAGTGACACTCTGTCTCAAAAAAAAAAGGCACAAGGAGGAGAATTACATCGTCCAAATGAGTCAGGTCCCAGGTGCAGCTGGGTCTGGGCCTCCTTGGCCTTGGGTAAGGCAGGAACACACAGATCTGGCACCTGAGTGTGTGTACCTGGGGTACTGTGTAAGTGTTGCAAGGTATGTTTGTGCAAAGCGATTAAGCTTTGTGGAGTTGGGGTGCACACCCCGATACTCTGGGATCGTGGGTTTCCAAGGCGATGCGGTGCCCTTGGATGTTTCCAGCTGGGCAACATAGCACAGCTCGGGGCCCACACTGCTTCGCTGGAGAGCCCAGCTCTGCCTCTTGCTAGCTGTGTGGTCTTGACAAAATCCCTCTACCTCTCTGTGCCTCAGTTTCCCTGTATGTGAAGTGGGATTAACACCAGTGACCACCTGATAGGATTGTTTTCTGGAATCAGAGAGCCAGGACGGTGCCTGGCACACAGCAGGTGCTCAACAGGGTTAGCCATGATTAGGGTTAGCCATGATTGCTGCCGGTGAGTTGAGGGTCAGGTGTCTCCTTGTGACGGCTGACTCCGTGGGACTCCGGGCACAAGGGTGGAACTTGGAAATGAACCACCGGGGTCCAAAAACTAGTGCCCACGTCTAAGCAAAAGGCACATGGGCGTGGACGGCTGGTGCAACATTGTTCGAAGTGGATATGACCTCAACAGTCACTGAAAGGAAAATCGGTTCGACAATCAGGCAGTGGAGGTGGTTGACTCATCTCTCGATAGAGATCTCCAAGGGCTAAGAAAACAAAGCGAAGTACAGGCTGCTGTGTAGAGAATGCATGTTTGGTTTCAGACCAGAGATCTCTTGGTATCAAGTATTTGTGGAAGGTATGCAAAAGCTGAGGGGTTCAGGGGTGAGAAGATGTGGTGGACCTTTTACGGTATGTGATTTTGCCTGCTTGCATTTTCCGTGGGTTAGCTTTGCTAACGCTTTGTTTTGCTTTTTGAATATTGAGCACAAAAACGTGGTCAACTGTACACACATGAAGAATGAAACCAGTGGCCAGAGCTGTTGGAAAGAAGGGAAAATTTAATGCCGGTGACATCAAAGACAGGAAATGGTGTTTCCCTGCTATGGCCAGTGGGAGGACACAGGGGTGGAGGAGCCAGCGGTGGGGAAGACCCAGGCAGGTCCCAGGACCCCTTCAAAGGGCACAAGAAGACAACTCATCCTGCTGGGAAGTAGGCCAGCCTGCCCCAGAAAGGGAAGCCCAGCAGAACAGCCACCTGGAAGGGACTCTCCAATCCTCCAGGGGAAGCAGCCACCGGACACAGTAAGACGTCCCCCTCAGACATACACAACCACACCAACCAAGACATACACGCAGACACACGCACAGACATACACATAATCACACACATACACACCCCGGAAACAAAACCACACATACACAGGGTGGCCACCAAAGCTAGCCACAGACACCCACAGAGGACACAGGGGACGTATATTCAGGGCATACCGTCAGGCACACCGTGAAGAGAACACACCATTGCAGACACACGATCACACACATATCAAAGACAGACGTGGAGATGCACAACACAGGCATACACGCAGTCACACCCTGAGACAGACGCCCAGGGACACAATCCCAGATACATGGGCCAGGGACCACAGCTAGCCACAGAGATACACAAGGACACACATTAAGGGTGTAACAACCACACACAGAGGTAGACACAGAGACACACAATTCAGGCACACACAAAATCACTCGCACCAATACAGACACCTGGAGACAGACACACAATCACAGACACATACAATCACAGTGGAGACAACAGAGGCCACGTCACACCCTCAGGCCCAGGGGACACGTGGAGGACCATGGTCACACGTGCTCACTAACACATAAACAGCCTCAATGAGACTCAAGGACTCAGGGATATGCAGTGGGAGATCCTCAGTATCAGATACCCGGAGACCACCAAAGGCACAAGAGTCCAATCTTACTTAAGGGATGCCCAGAGGCTGGGCGGAGTGGCTCACATTTGAGCTCAGGAGTTCAAGACCAGCCTGAGCAAGAGTGAGACCTCATCTCAACTAAAAAAAAATTGAAGGAAATTAGCTGGACAAGCCAATAATATAGATATATACCGTATATATATATATATATATTGGCCAGGCATGGGTGGACAGCATCGCCTGTAGTTCCGTACTCAGGAGGCTTAGGCAGGAGGACCACTTGAGCTCAGGAGTTTGAGGTAGCTGTGAGCTAGGCTGCTGCTATGGCACTCACTCTAGCCTGGGCAACAAAATGAGACTCTGTCTCAAAAAAATAAAGAGATGCCCAGGGACACCTGAAACCAGAAGACAAAAGGAAGCACCATCAAAGGAACCCAGGCCCCACCCCCAGCGCTGTTTGGAAGAAAGGACACCCATGTAAGACCACCCAAGATCTCCCTCAGACGAAACCATACCCGGTGTGAAAGCCCTTAGAAACAATCCCCAAATTGCCACCCCCAGAGGACGTAGCCCTGGTCCAAGCACTAAAGGACCACCAAGATCCACCCCAGAGGTAGACCAAAGTCGCAAGCCCGAAGACCGCACTCACTGATCACCCAAGGAGACTCCAGTCACAAACCTAAGATGACAACCAAGATCCACCCCAGAGGAGACCCAGGTCCAAACCGTAAAGACGCACCAAGATCCACCCACAGGGAACCTAGGTCCAAGCCTAAGACCACCCAAGATCCACCCCCAGAGTAGACCTAGGTCCAAACCTAAGACCACCCAAGATCCACCCCCAGAGGAGACCCAGGTCCAAGCCTAAGACCATCCAAGATCCACCCCCAGAGGAGACCCAGGTCCAAGCCTAAGACCACCCAAGATCCACCCCCAGAGGAGACCCAGGTCCAAGCCCAAGACCACCCAAGATCCACCCCCAGAGGAGACCCAGGTCCAAACCAAGATCCACCCCCAGAGTAGACCTAGGTCCAAGCCTAACCCACCCAAGATCCACCCCCAGAGGAGACCCAGGTCCAAGCCCAAGACCATCCAAGATCCACCCCCAGAGGAGACCCAGGTCCAAGCCTGAGATCACGTGCTATCCACCCTCCAGATGAGACTCAGACTCCTGCTTCTGGGCACCCGCCGTCCCTGCCCTGAGGAGCGCGGTCCGCGTGCGTGCGGACCCCGTCTCCGCAGTGACAGCCGGCCCGGGCGGCGGGCGCCCCCTGGTGACCCGGAGCCTCGGCCGGGGCTGCGCGGAGGCGGCGCCCGGAGCCAGGCCGGCCAGTTCGCTCGGGTCTCGGAGCATCGGCGCAGAGCCGCAGAGGAAAGAGCGCGGAGGCGGCAGCGGCCGGAGCCGGCGGGACACGGCCCTGGCCCGGGAGCCGAGCCCGTGGGGAGGCCCGGCCCGCGAGCCAGCCCCGCGCGGCGCAGCCCCGCCCGCGACCCCTGCGGCGGCTCCCATTGGGCCGCGGCCGGCCAATGAGGCGCGGCCGGGCAGGAGCAGGGCGGCCGTTGGACGCAGGGCCCGCCCGCCGGTCATGGCTCTCAGCCCGAAAGTGACCACCAAGAAATCGCTCAAGACCTGGGATGCCCAATGCCCATCCGGGATGACCAGCGACACCGACGCGACCTCGGCCCACACGTCCCGGAGAAAGGTGGGCCCGCCCCTTCCAGGGCGACCCCAAATCTCCCAGCCCCAGCCCACATCCCTGTCATTCTCGCTAGACCCCGCCCACTCCTCAGCCATGCCCCTCCCAGGCCCACCCACTTCCCTGTCATTCTCCCCAGGCCCCGCCCACTCCCCCGTCAACCCCCGCCCAGGCCCTCCCACTTCCCTGTCATTCTCCCTAGGCCCCACCCACTCACCCCAAGCCCTGCCCTTCCTCAGTCCCTCCCACTTTCCTGTCATTCTCCCTAGGCCCCGCCCCCTCACCCCAAGCCCTGCCCTCTCCTCAGTCCCTCCCACTTCCCTGTCATTCTCCCTAGGCCCCGCCCCCTCACCCCAAGCCCTGCCCTCTCCTCAGTCCCTCCCACTTCCCTGTCATTCTTCCTATGCCCCGCCCCCTCACCCCAAGCCCTGCCCTCTCCTCAGTCCCTCCCACTTCCCTGTCATTCTTCCTATGCCCTGCCCACTCCTCAGCCTGAGGGTCTCTGACCCTTTGTCTTATCCCTTTAGGCCCTACCTTCTTCCAGGTCTCATCCACACATCCACTCCCATCAAGACATCCCAGAGCTGCCGCGCCCCTGGCGTGGGGCGGTGGCTATGTAGTAACTGGCCAACGAAGCTACAGGGGCCTCAGTTTCCCCGGCCCTGCCCTGCCCATGGTGGTCTTCACCATCCCTGCCCACTTCCCGGGCCCCACCTGGCTCGCGAACTCTAATCCCAGTCTGGTAGACATACCCACCCCGTCGTCCGTCCCCTGCCCCCCACCCCGCAGCTGACAAAATCCTCACAACGCGTGGTCACGGCCCCACCCAAGCCGGTGGTCCTGAAGCAGAGCCAGTGGCCTGCGGACCGGCGCAGGACATCCCCACCGGCCTCGCTGTCGATCTCAGGGACCGCCAAGATGTTGGTGGCTCTGGACCTGTTCTGTCTGATGCTGGGTGAGCCCCCTCCCCACAGGCCTTGAGCCCAATCCTGAAATTCAAGGGGCCTTGTTGGACTCTGTCTTTATCTGAGGGTCGCTTGACTGAGGGGCTGGTGATGCATACTGGGTGTGGTTGTACGGTGGATCTGTATGTATCTGATCCAGTGCGTGTGTGTGTGTGTGTGTGTCTCACTGGGTCTCTGTGTGTTGCTCTCTGGCTACGTGTTGTTTTGGATTAGGGGAGGTGTGATGTTTATTGTGTGTGACTATTTGGACTATGCATGTACTTGGTCTATGCAGACATCTGGATTGGGAGGGGTTCCAATGGTGCTTGTGTATCTGGGTGTGTGTCTGAGTCTATATGGGCCTATGTATTGTGTGTGTATTGTTGCATTGTGTGTCTGTGTGGATATCTGAATCTGTGTGTCTGGGTTGGACTGTGTGGTTGTATAGTGTCACTGTGTGAGTCAGATTGTAGGCAAGTGTATCTTGCATCTGTGTGGCCTGTGAGTTAGGAGGCCTGTGCCTCCTAACTCCCCAGTGGGCAGACCCAGTGACCAAAGCCCCCTCTCTAGGGAGGGGAGGCCAAGCTAGGACACTACCTTTGCCCCTCTAAGTCCAGGGAGTTAGGAGCTGTGGGAGGCTGGGTTCCAGCTAACTGGTTCTGCCAGACTACAGAGGGCACAGAAACAGCAGAGTCAAGAGAGGGGTGAGGCCAGGTGCAGTGGCTCACATCTGTAATCCTAGCACTCTGGGAGGCAGAGGCGGGAGGATCACTCAAGGTCAGGAGTTCGAAACCAGCCTGAGCAAGAACGAGACTCTGTCTCTACTATAAATAGAAAAAAATTAATTGGCCAACTAAAAATACATTTTAAAAAATTAGCCAGGCATGGTGGCACATGCCTGTAGTCCCAGCTGCTCGGGAGGCTGAGGCAGGAGGATCACTTGAGCACAGGAGTTTGAGGTTGCTGTGAGCTAGGCTGACACCACAGAACTCTAGCCCAGGCAACAGAGTGAGACTGTCTCAAAAAAAAAAATGCTCACGTTATAGCTGACATAGAAATTATAAGCATGGACACACAGACACTCACAGATGCACAGACATAAAGAGCCACAGCCATACAAACATGCGTTCATACATCAGGACACACATAACACATACAGAAAAAGTGAGTTCTCCCACCCTTGTCCCCTTATTATCCTGAGCCCCTTACCCACCTGATTCTAAGACCCACAAATGCCACACCTAGCCATCCTCCCAGCCCCCCACACCACCCACCATTTCACCCAACAGGGAGAGGATGCTGACTGCAGGGGGCATGATAGGGCCCCATCCATGGATGGGTGCCTGGGGCTGTCTCCTCCTCACACCTTCTGGCCAAACCATCCTCCTTGCACAGCTTTCCTGCCTTCCCAACTTGTCCAGGCTGTGGAGACTCAGGGAGGACAGACTGGCCAGAGGTTTAAGGAGAGTAGCCCTCAGGTGACTCGACCTTGAGTAGGGTCTTCTCTGCCCCCTACAGTCAGTGTTCCCACCCTGCTGAGTAAGAGTGGTTTGATGGCACCCCACTTCCAAGGCTTCTTTTGCAATGACACCACCATCAGATACCCCCGGGTGTCCCACTACGTCGTGGAGGACTCGGCACTCATCACCATAGGCTTCTTAATCTCCGTCTTCACGGTAAGGGGCTGGCCACCTTCACCCAGTGTGGTGGTGACGTGCCACATGGCAAGCTTCACCCTTTTCCTGAAAAAGTGGGAAACGCTGCCCTGAAGCAGGAGGAAGTTCCACCCCTTATCCTAATGAAACAGGAACTCTCTCTGCTTGATGGCACAGAAGAAAAACCTTTTCTTGAGAAAAAGGTAAAGCTCAACCCTTGTTGACATAGGACACAAGAGACACCCGCCTCTCTGCCTTAGACGTGGAGCAGGAGGAAGCTCAGCCCCCTTCCCCTAGCAGACAAGAAACTCCATCCCTAGTAGACATAAAGCAGACAGCAGTGCAGGCCCCTTTTCTGGGGAGTAAGGAACCCCCCCACTTTCAAACATGGGGAAAATGTCCCATCTCTTTTTCCTGTTGGCGGAAAGGGAAGTCCCACCATTTTCTGGCACTTGGGAGGAAATCTATCCTCTCTTTCTGGCATAACAGGAAGTCCCGCCCCTTGCAAATATGGGACAGGAAATCCTGCCTATATCAGTCCTGAAATAGGGAAGGCCCCACCCCTTTTACTGTTGTAACAGGAAGTCCCGCCCCTTTCAGATACAGGACAGGAAAGCATGCCTATAGCTGACATAAAACAGGGGGAAGCCCCACCCCTTTTCGTTGTGTAAAAGGAAGTCCCACCCCCTTCAGCTATAAGGCTCCAGCCCATGTGTGACCTAAATTAAGGGGATGACCCACTCCCTCTTCTTGGTGTAAGGGGCAGCCATGCCCCTTGCCCTAGTGAAAGAGGAAATCCTGCCCAGTTCAGGCACAGTGGTGAGCAAAGTCTCCCATTTTGGTGTGTGGTGAAATAAGAAGCCCCACCCTTCTTCTGGGTTTAGTGGAAAACTGCACCCGTTCCTTTTCCATATGAAGAGGGGACATATGAGCTGAGACACAGCATGGAGGACCTCCCACGCTATTGTCCCCCCTGCCCCAGCAGTGATTTACCCCCCACGCCACCCTCCCCTCCCCATGCGGCCCTGCAGATCAGCCTGGGAGAGATGATCTACGTCCAGAAACTCCGGCTGAGCCCGCGGGCCCTACTGGGCAGCACCTACGTGGTCATGGTCTACAAGCAGCTGGTCACCTTCATTTTTGGCAGCATGGCCAGCTTCTCCCTGGCCAGCATCACCAAGATGACCACGGGACGCCTGCGGCCCCACTTCCTGGCCGTGTGCCTGCCAGACCCAGCCTCCTTCAACTGCGAGAGCGGCTACATCACCAACTACACCTGCACCGGGCACCCAGAGGACGTCCTCAATGCCAGGCAAGCGGTGGACAGGGAGGGGACTGTCAGGAAGCATCCCCTGTTTATCCCAGCTCCCTGCTGATCTCAGCCCTCCTCCCTGTTCATCTCCCAGGAAATCCTTCTACTCTGAACAAGCCTCCCTCGGGATGTACTGCATGGTTTATCTGGTGGTGAGTGTCGGCAGGAGGCGGGCCACACACCCAGCGAAGCCATAGAACGCTCCATTGTCCCCTCCCACCTCCCTCCCATACTGGGCACCAGCAGTGCCAGGCACGGGCTTCCACAGAGCTTGTGTGTGTGCCCCTTGGAGTTGGGACAGCTTCTCTTAAGACTCATTCAGCGTCCCTGTCCTGGAACAGTGGCTTCCAGAAAGCTCTGTCTTCCCCAAGCTGCAGCTGGAGAGGGCCCGTGCAGGGCTGGATCTCCACCAGGGCTGGGGGAAAGAAAAGCAGACCCAGCTGAGGCGAAGGTGGAAGGCGTGGCCAGGGATAGGAGGTGGGAAGGCCCATTGGGAAGCAGCCAGTGATCTGGGGCCCAGCACACAATGAGAGCATAGATTCGAGAGCTGGAAGCTGATTGCACCCTTCAGAGCCAGCCCAGAGCACCAGGCACCATGGTGGGCAGACATATGACACAGACAGAGGCCCAGGCCACAGGGCACGTGACAGTCACACGGCTGCCTCGACTCCAGCAATATTTTCTTTCTGAAAGACAACTTATTGGACTGCAAGCCCTTTGCTCTCTCGATTAAAAAAAAAAAATTAACAAAGTAAATACAGCCATCCCATAGTGACAAAGAGTAAGGGCTTTGCACCCAGAATGCAGGGCTCTCTTGGCCCTATTCCCAGCCTCAGCAGTGTGTGACGCTTGGGTGAGATACTCAATGTCCTTGGGCCTCCATTTCCTCATCTGTGAAATGGGCATGCAGACAGCACCTGCTTCCTAGTTGTGGTTTCACAAGTTAAAATATAAACAAGCTGATGCACATTAAATGCTTAGAACAGGATCTGGCCATAGATCTGGTCTAAACATCACCATTCTTATTAATAATAAGCAAAGTGGACTCCCTCTGTCCTCTGTCCCCACTCCCTGGGTGGATTGGGGGCTGGGGTGCACTTCAGCAGTGCCTTGAGGTCCACCCCAGCTCCGGATGGCAGACAGATCACACACAGCTAGGACACAGGCCTTTCCCTAATTTTGTGGACCTCAGAAAGGGTGGTGTGGCCAGGCACGGTAGCTCACGCCTGTAATCCTGGCAACCTAGGAGGCTGAGGCGGGCGAATCATTTGAGCTCAGGAGTTCGAGACCAGCCTGAGCAAGAGCAAGACCCCATCTCTACTAAAAATAGAAAGAAATTATCTGGCCAACTTAAAATACATAGAAGAAATTAGCCAGGCATGGTGGCACATGCCAGTAGTCCCAGCTACTCTGGAGGCTGAGGCAGAAGGATGGTGTAAGCCCAGGAGTTTGAGGTTGCTGTGAGCTAGGCTGACGCCATGGCACTCGAGCCTGGGTAACAGAGTGAGACTTTGTCTCAAAAACAAAAAAAAAAGGGATTTTTTTGTTTTCTGTTTTCCATGTCAAAATCAGGAGCCCAGCCTCAACTCTTGCAGGGTTCCTTGATGAGATTGGCCCAGTTTGATTGGTGATCCAATGCTTGCAGGAGGCGGCAGTATGGGGCCACAGTATCGGGCCCACCTGTACAGTGTCAGTTAACTGTTGTCAAATCCTCCATTCAATGCCTAACAATCCTCCCGACACTAACTAGTTAATAAAGTAAAACTCTCTTCCACTGATGGTTTCGGGGGCCACAGCCAATAACCCACCTTACATGGTGAATTCCATTGTCGTACAAAACTGGCAAGGTAGAATGTCCTGCTGCACAGGTGGCCCCCCAAAATGCGGTCCCTCTAGGTACGTGCTCCTGGTCTTCAAGGTCCTGCCCACCCTCCCCACCGGTCCCCAGCTTTATGTGCAGGTGCGCCCCTGGGGACAGAAGACCAGCTTCTTACGGCCAACCTTCCAGTTCCTCTTCTTATCCCTGGCTCTGGTCACCGGCTACATCCGGACCTTGGACTATTGGCACCACCCCTATGACGTGGTCATTGGATTCCTGCAAGGAGCCTTGATGGCCTTTTGGGTGGTAGGTGCTGGGTGGGATACCTGGGTACCAGTGTGACTGTGCTCGCCTGGGAGCAGCCACAGGCACAGTTAGCTCTCCTGACCTGGATTGGAGCCCAGGAGAGGCCCAGGCTGGGGAGGGATGTAGGTGACATCACCCATCCCCAGACCTCTCTCCTCTTTGTCCCCATAGGCATTCTACATTAATGACCATTCTACAGTTGGGGCAATACCCAAGAGCTCTGAATACTAGAAGGCCACTTCTGCCCTCTCCACTCACTTCACCCGTGTACTTCCTCTCGATTCATTTCCTAAAGGCCATCAGGGAGCCCAAGGGGTGCCCTGAGACAGAAGAAAGTATAGATCCCCCCAGACCATGTACTTCCGAGGGAACCGTGTCTGGGGCTGAGCCCACATCCAGTTCAGCCCTGCCCCTGGTAGGATGACATAGGACACGCCATTTTTCTGGGACTGAGTCTATATCCTCAGTCAGCCCCCTCTCAGCAGGGCCACTTCCTTTTTTATTCTTTCTTAAAGACTCCTGATGTATTAAAGAAATTAACAAATGCCAACACAGGGTTTACAAATTCTTGATCTACAATCACAGGGGTTGGCAGACTTCCTGTTGCGCTCGGACGCACCAAGTCTCTGTGATCAGTTGTTAATACCACGTTGGGTGATAACCTCAAAAGTAGAAATTGGAGTCACCCCTCCTCGCACTACTGACGATGACATTTGGGGTTGGAACATTCTTTGCTATGGGAGCCCTCTTGTACGTGGTAGAATGTTGAGTGGCACCTGTGGGTGCTCGCTGGCCTCCACCCATGAGCTGCCCTGAGCACCCACCAAGTCGTCATGAACAAAAATGTCTCCAGACATCAGCAGGCATCCCCTGGGAGCGTAGGGGGGACAGGACCTCCCTCGGGTGAGAATTTCTTGGTTGGGGAGGTTCGGCAACCCCCAAGGGACTCTGCCTTCCACTATTGTCTGACCTACTGAAGTCCCAAGATGCCACACACATTTAAATACACACGCTGAGGGCTCTTCAGGAAATGATGGTGGATTGAGCACAGTTAGTTTCAGCCCATCTGGTAAACTTGTCCAGACTGAATATGCTTTGGCTGCTGTAGCTACCCATTACCCCCTTCAATGGTAATGAAACTTGCAAATAGTGTGATTATAGCAACTGAGGAGCAATGGAAATCTCTTCTATAGGATGAGCAAAGTGTACACTAAGTAGAACCCATCACCAACCATATAGGTTCGGTGTATACAGACCATATTACAGAAAGTTTGCACTCAGGACTTGAAATCTAAGCCAGCCTGAGCAAGAGCAAGACCCCAACTCTACTGAAAATAGAAAAAATTAGCCAGGCATGGTGGTGCACGCCTGTAGTCCCAGCTGAGGCAGGAGGATCACTTGAGCCCAGGAGTTCAAGACCAGCCAGGGCAACATAGTGAGAAAAATTAGCCAGATGTGGTGGTGGTGCCTATAGTCCCAGCTACTCGGGAGGCTGAGGCAGGAGGATTGTTTGAGCCCAGGAGTTTGAGGTTGCTGTGAGCTAAGCTGATGCCATGATACTCTAACCCAGGCATCCTTAAACTCCGGCCCATGGGCCACATGTGGGTGTTTTTCCCCGTTTGTTTTTTTAATTCAAAATAAGATATGTGCAGTGTGCATAGGAATTTGTTCATAGTTTTTTTTTAAACCATAGTCCAGCCCTCCAATGGTCTGAGGGACAATTAACTGGCCCCCTGTTTAAAAAGTTTGAGGACCCCTGCTCTAACCTGAGCGACAGAGCAAGACTCTGTCTCAGCTGGGCACGGTGGCTCACTGCCTGTAATCCTAGCACTCTGGAAGGCCGAGGCGGGTGGATCGCTCAAGGTCAGGAGTTCAAAACCAGCCTGAGCAATAGCAAAACCCCCTCTCTACTATTAAAAAAAAAGAAATTAATTGCCCAACTAAAGAGTGAGACAGGAAGGGAAGGAAGGAAGAGGAAGAAGAGGAAGGAGGAGGAAGGAAGGAGGAAGGAAGGAAGGAAGGAAGGAAGGAAGGAAGGAAATCTAACTCAGCAATAGGAAGGAAGGAAGGAAGGAAGGAAGGAAGGAAGGAAGGAAGGAAGGAAGGAAGGAAGGAAGGAAGGAAGGAAGGAAATCTAACTCAGCAATAGTATCTTGTTTACCAAGAACCTATTCCCCACGGCTCAGCCAGTACAGAGAGCTGCCCCAGGATGCGAGAATGCACCCAGCCAGGTGGTATTGGTCCATTTACACTTTCTTTAGTTATTTGGGGTTGGAATGAGAGATGACAATATTTATTTCAGTGAGATCCATGGGAAAACTTTCCTTGAGGAAAGATGCAACTTGCAGACGACTTTCAATATAGCTGTCTTAATCCTAAAGGAAAGCTTTCAAGAGAAAATGGTGGAAGATAATGGAGGGTTGGAATCTGTACTCAGCAGGATTTAGAAGGCTTACTCCAACCAAAGTTAAGGATTACTTGGCTGCCGTGGTATAATAACGAAATATCTGGAAGATCCACAGTTCTAGATCCTCTTTCTCCTTCAACATGTTTAAAGTCTGTTTTAGGTGTTGTTTTGCAGACTTTTGCATAGTATTTCCACATGGTTTAACGAACTGATGTTTTTTTTTTTTTCAAATGACACTTATAAATCATGATAAATGGTTAAATCTAACTCCCAGTTTTTTAGGAGTCAATAAAAGTTTAACATAGTTATTGTCTGCTTATCTCCGTTGGTTTCCGGAAACTGCATTGCAAAGCAGAACAATGAAATCGCTCTTTAGTCTTCATGCAACACTGGGAAACATCGAATCTTTTTGCCCTTTTTACTACGAGATGTTGCCTATGTCTCAGGAAAGCAAAAATGCCGATTTGGGCAAACGTCACTGCTTTTAGAGGTGGGAGAATCCGTAGACTTTTACAGACACATGAAACAATACAGGTGTTTTCCAGGCACTGTTAGGTGTGGGTCAGTGAAACCCTAAGATGTCTTTGAGATTGTCCCGGGGCCATAAAGAGTGCTAATAAGCTAGATTGGTTTCCTATGGGAGCTATATTATGCAAGTAAATAAAAAACGGTTTGCTGGGGAGGGGGATGCATACGTAAATACACAAACTGAGTGGGGAGGGAGAGAGGAAATCACAGTGGCTGGGCAATCGATGGAGCTGGTCTAGCCCATATGCAGTCCAGCCCATCTGGAATTCATTCTGGCATCTAGTGTGACCTGGAGAGCTAACTCGAATTTTTGCCCAAATAATTAACCCAGGGTTTCTCAACCTCAGCCCTGTTGACATTTGGGGCTGGATCGTTCTCTGGCGGGGGTGTCCTGTGCTCTGTGGCGCTGAGAGCAGCTTCCCTGGCCCCCTCCCACCCAATGCCAGTAGCTCGCCTGTGCAAATACACACACACACACACACACACACACACACACACCGCCATGGATGTATGACAACCCCAAATGCCTCCAGACATTGCCAAGTGTCCTCTGGGGGGGGGGAGGGCAAAAGCACCCCCCCAGCCCCACTGAGAACCACTGATCAAAATTGGTGGCCTTTGTCAAGTGTGAGGGCCAGACCACGTGGCCAGCATGGCTTACCCCACCCCCAAGGCACCATACACCAAGGCGGGTGAGGAGGAGGCTTCCTGGGAGGGCAGAGCTAGAGGCTGCCCCCACCCCCACCCCGGAAGGTGGCCCCTGAGCTCTGGCCTTCACTGGAGGGTCAGCACAGAAAGTCCTGCCAGCACCTGATAATAATTATAATCACAATAGATACAATGTGTTGTCGCCTCCTACCCTGAGCCATCCTGTCATGGGACCCTCCCAACAGCCCTGCAAGGACCGCATTCTTCATGACCCCTCTTGCAGATAAGGAAATTCAGGCAGAGAGAGAAACAGCCCGTGCACAGAGCTAATGAGAAATGCAGAGGCAGGGGAGATGGTTTGTGTTAATAATAAATTAGTTATAATAAATTATAATGTGGGAGCAGAGAGGTAATGACCTGGGAGAACAAGGCAACCCCCCAGGCTCACTATCCCCCCCAATATGTGATCCCAGGCCAGGCTGGCGGTGACCCTATCTGCAACAAACAGATGCAAAGCCCAACGGGGAGGGGGGACACGGGAGGGGGAGCCATAGCTACCCCCCTCTTTCCACCAGCATCCCCCACCAAACACAAAAGGAAAATCCGGGTTTTACTGACTAAGCAGCTTGAAGACAAGCCCTCCAGGAACCAAGCGCCCCTACCCAGACGCCACCCCCAATCCAGACTGCTACTCCAGAGCCCCCCCGACCCACGACCCACGCTCCCCCGACCCACGAGCCCTCCCGGTTAACGCCAGGATTCTGGCCAATGGGGAGCGGGGCTGCGGGCAGAGAAACTGAGGCAGGGCCTGGGCGGGAGAGGGGTGGACTTCCCAGCTCCTTGTTTACCAAGCACTCCCCCTTCCCCCGCCCGGTTGCTCCGAGTGGCCAGGCCCGGCTGGGGGCGGGGAGGGCTGGGGGGAGGCGGCACTGACGGGCCGAGGCAGGGGTGGGGGCACACGCAGCCCAGGCGCGTCCCAGCCGGTGCCCCCCACCCAGGTCCCGCAGGCCGCTGCGGAGGGCGATCCCTGCATCCCCGCCCCCCCAGCCCTGCACCCTCCATCCCGGGGAGGGACCAGGGGGCGGAGCGGGCCGGTGACCAGCAGTGACGCGAGCCCCGCCCGCCCATATAGACGCTCCCCGGGGCGCAGGGACCGTGCTCCGCCGCCAGCCCCGCGCCGCCGCCGCATCCACCCGCCGCCGCCGCAGCTCCCAGCGCCCGCGCCGCCGCGTCCGCCAGCAGCGCCACCACCATGCGGGAGATCGTGCACCTGCAGGCCGGCCAGTGCGGCAACCAGATCGGCGCCAAGGTGCGCGGGGAGCGGGGGCGCCGGCCGCAGGAGGCGGCCGTGGTGGCGGAGGGGCCCAGAGCGGGGTCCCCGGAGCTGGGGTCTTTGGGGGACCGGGTCCCCGGGAGGCCAGCACCCCAGGGACGGTGGGGGAGGGGTCGCCGCGGACAGGGCCAAGCCGGGAACAAAGAGGCCTCTAGGAGCGGGACCGGCCTCTGTGCGCTTGCCACAGCTGGCCTCGCAGCTGGACGACTGTCCCCTCCGGGCGCACAAAGAGACCCCGCCCTTCCCCCCACCGCGGGCCGCAGCCGGGTTCGCTGGCACCGGCCGGCTCGGTCCGAGGGGCTGCTGACTCCGCCGCACCCCGCCCCCACCGCTGCCTTCTTGCTGCCTCATCCTGGTGTCAGCACCGCCCTGCCTCTACGTCCCCGTCTCACCTTGCCGGGGGCGGGAGGCAGCCAGGGAGGGGGGTCAGCGGGGGTGCGGGGAGGGCCTCGGCCTGGCCACCTGCTCCAGGTGTCTCAGTCCTTCCCACCACCCCCGCCAGTTCTGGGAGGTGATCAGCGACGAACATGGCATCGACCCCACCGGCACCTACCATGGGGACAGTGACCTGCAGCTGGAGAGGATCAACGTCTACTACAACGAGGCCACAGGTAGGGCGAGGGGGCACCTCCCG